CCCCCAGCCCAGCCCACCAAGGACAAGCTGGTGGGTGGGGTACATGTTCCCTGCTGCCCCCAGGGAGAAGCCAACAGCCACCTCCATTCCCTTCCCTGAGCTCCCCCTCCTCCTAATCCCCTGCCCTGATTCCTGCGCCCCTTGCCCTGAGCCCTTTCTCACCTTCCGCCTTGACTCCTGCCCGCCCCTCCTCACCCCCAACCCTTACTCTCACGCCCCTCCACATCCCCCGCCCTGAGCCCCTCCTTAACCTCCACCCTGATTCCTGCACCCCCATGCTCTCAGCCTCCTGCCCGAAGCCCCCCGCACCTCAAGGTGCTCCCCTGACTCCTGCATCCTCTGCACCACCAGCCCTCTGCCCTGAAGGACCTGAGCAACACCCGGTAAGTCGTCTTGTTGATTCATATGTGGGACCCCTAGGAGGCTACCCTGAACCTGAATCCTTCCCATTCTGTTAAAGGTCCCTTAGGGCACAAACAAAGCACTGCTATCCCTGTCTATCCTGGGCTGTGCGTTGCAAGGCCCTGTGAGTTCAGTGCCGTATGTTTTCCTTCTCTGTACAGTTCAACAAGGTTTATCAACACCGGCCCGTTTACGTGTCCCTCCAGCTACCTAACGGCACGCCTGCCATGGCAGATGTTCTGGCGTCATTCCTAACACATGTCCCAGATATTTCCTCCTTTGCGGGATAACTTTGAAGATAAGGGGTGGCTGAACTCTGACGAATCTTGGCACGTGTTATAAATTCATTCTGTTTAATACCTGATATTTTCCTGAGGCATTTGCTTTCAGAGGCATGCAGACCTCTGTGCCTTCTGATGGCTTGCCTGCGTTCACTTCGTCTGTGAAGGTGGAAATGACATTTCAGTTGGACATTTGTGGTTTGGTCTTACGTTGTAGATTTTCAATAACTTAAATCTTGTTTACACTGGTGAATGTAGCTGCTGCCTTGCCAATTCATGACATTATTTCCCTCTGTGTATCCTTGTTGGCTTGCATATTGCTAACACGTGTATCTTAACATACCGGTTAATACGCAT